AAAATATTAACTTTCACCCCAAACAATTTGTATACTACTTGGGGGTATTAAAAGGCATAAATCTGTTCCCTACCACCCCAGCAAAATAGGGTTGCTGAAAGGATGAATAGAACTCTTTTAGAGAGGGTGAGGGCTATGTTGGCCACATCTGGGCTCTCTAAGAAATTCTGGGGAGAAGTTGTTTATACTGCGGCCTATTTAACTAACAGGTCTCCTTTTGTTCCCTTAGGAGGGTTCACGGGCAAACCTCTTGATTTAAATAATTTGAGAATTTTCGGATGTGCTGGCTATATGCATCAAAGGATTGATAAGTTAGAACCTAGATCTAAGAAATGTGTTTTCTTAGGATACCCAAAAGGAGTAAAAGGTTATAGGCTTTGGAATAAGAGTGAACCGAGGTTTAAGGTAGTGATAAGTAGAGATGTTGTTTTTAATGAAAATGAATTTCAATGTTTTCCTTTACCTATCCATATTCCTAAAAATAATGCTCCAAATGAGGTGGAGCAAATGCCTATTATTAATCAACCTGAATCACCTACTGAAGAAAAATTAAATGATATAATTATTAAAAATCAAGATGAGATTATTCCTAATGAGGTAGAGCATGATATGCAGGAAATAGATAACATGCATGATTTGAATGATTATCAACTCACTAGGGATAGAAATAAAAAAACCATTAGGAAATCTGAAAGGTATAGAGATTGTAATTTGACTGATTGTAATATGTCTGAGTTTGTCTTTAATGTGTTTGAATCCCTTGAGTGCAATGAACCTAAGACTTATAGAGAAGCATTAAGGTCAAAATATTCTGAAGAATGGATTAGTGCTATGAAAAGTGACATAGAATCCCTAAGAATTAATCAAACATGGAAACTTGTTTCTAAACCTACTAGTTGTTCTGTAGTGGACTGTAAATGGTTGTTTAAGGTGAAACAAGAATCTGAAAGTGTTAGGTTTAAGGTTAGGTTAGTAGCTAAGGGATTTACTCAAAAAGAGAGAATTGATTATGCTGAAATTTTTGCTCCTGTTGTAAAATTCACTATTGTTAGAGTTATGCTTGCTTTAGTTGCTCATTTTAATTGGGAATTAAAACAAATGGATGTAACTACTGCTTTTTTGCATGGTGATCTTAATAAAAATATTTATATGCACCAACCTGAGGGTTTTGTGGACCCAAAATTCCTGATCATGTGTGTTTGTTAAAAAAGGATTTGTATGGTTTAAAAGAATCACCTAGGCAATGGAATATTAGATTTGATAAATGCATGCAATCTTTAAAGTTTAAAAGGAGTTCTGCTGATCATTGCTTGTATTATAAGAATATAGACTTTATGCCTGTATTTCTTTTAATTTATGTGGATGACATGTTGATTGTTAGTCCTTGTTTGAAGTCTATTGAGCATGTTCAAAAATGTCTTTGTGAAAATTTTGACATGAATGGCTTAGGCGATGCTAAAAGAATCCTAGGCATGAATATTATTAGGGATGAAAACAAATCTACTCTAGTTTTAAACCAAAGTTCATATGTCGAAAAACTTTTGAGTAAATTCGCTATGTCTGATGCTAAATCTGTGAATGTGCCTCTTGCTTCCCATTTTGTGTTAAGTAGGGATCAATCCCCCAAGACTGAAACTGAAATAAATGATATGAAGAAGGTGCCATATTCGAATGTTATAGGATCGGTCATGTATCTCATGGTTAGTACTAGGCCTGACATTGCATATGCGGTTAGTTGGTTGAGTAGATATATGTTAAATCCTAGTATGCCTCATTGGAATGCCTTGAAATGGCTTTTAAGATATTTAAAATCCTCTGTGGATGTAGGATTTACCTTCTCTAAGTGTTCTGAAGGTGTTAAACTAGTTGGCTATGTAGATTCCAATTATGCAAATGATAGGGATAATAGAAAATCTACCACTTCCTATGTGTTTACTTTGTGTGGCTCTTGCATAAGTTGGAAATCTCAACTACAACCCATTTTTGCTTTATCTACTACTCAATCTGAGCATGTTGCTGCCACTGAAGCTTTTAAAGAAGCTATTGGGCCTTATATCTGAAATTAATTTTCTTGATAAAAATGTGATTGTATTTTCTGATAGTCAATCTGCTATTCAACTTTACAAAAATCCTATTTTTCATAATAGAACTAAACATATTGATGTTAGATTTCATTACATTCGGGATATAGTTAAAAAGAGTATTGTTAAGTTAGAGAAAATTCCCTCAGAATTTAATCCGGCTGACATGAGTACTAAGTGTTTGCCTGTTGAAAAAGTTATCTCGTATCAAAGAATCTTGAATTTTGACTTTGGGTAATTTTCCTTTGCTTTGTGTGTTGCCTTTGTGGCCTATTAACTTGCTTTGTGTTTGTTAGTAGCTTTGTGATTTTCCCTTTGAACTCGATGACCGTTTGGTAGAGTTTGGTCCTTTGTGGATTTAGCATGCTTAGTGATCTTGCCCCGATCTTTGTGATCTGAGTTTACTTTGTGTATTCTCTTTCATTGCTTGTATCTTCTTTGTGATCATACAGGTAATGGTTTGGCGATGACAAGTTCTGCAGTTCCGTGTTTTTCTTAGTGAACTACCTTGAGCCAAAGGTGGAGATTGTTGCTATTAGTTGGCCCATCGTCCTTTGCTTTGCTGGCCCATTTGCTAAAAAGTCAATGACCCACAACTCTTTAGTCCCATCTCCCATCCCTGTAGGTATGCTCCCACCTTTTTCCTCATACCCTAGCCCATCTCTCTTGTAGGCTGCCCCTTGATAAAATGACAGAGAGAGTTGAAAGAAAACATGGAAAAAAGCGAGAGGAGTGTCAATGAAGAAGAACCCGAGCTTTGTGCTCCTCTGCTTTGTGTGATCCTCTCCCCTTCTGTGAGCTTTTCCCGTCTATCGCTTTGTGCGATCCCTTCACCCTTTGTGAGTGATTAAGGAGAAGAACTGTGGCGAGTTACCCTTGTGTCCTTGGTGGTGCAAATCTGAGAAAATAGTGACTGAAGAGTCAGGCTTCTGAGCTCAACAGCGACGACATCGATCTTAACACTAAGTAGTCAATTAAATGACCATGGAGCAATCGACTTCACAAATTGGTCAGATGTCTCCAACTAAAATATACTTAATAAATTTGTATGTTAGTTTCATAAACGCTTATGATGAGATATTTATTTAGGCATAAGCTCCTACAATCAGTACAGAACCTAATTAGGGTCTGCCCCGGGGTAAGCCCACCAAGCCTCGAGCCTGGGGCAACCCAGGGTTGGGGGGTCAACCATCGCGATTACATCCTTCACCCCTCAAACCGTAATAACATTCGAAGTGGACTTTGTAAGAGGACTTTTATGTAAAAATTGTTAGGGGTTCTATTAGTAAAAAACTCTTATTAATACCCAAAGCCCTACCCAACTCCATCTTTATTTCCGTCAGCTTCCTCTCCTCCTTCTCGTCTATGTTCCGCCGCTCACAAAAAAAGAAAAAAAAAACAAAGAGAATCTGAATCGACGGAGACGCCGCTCTGTTCCGCCATTTTTGTTCCGTCAGCCTCTAACTCCTCCTTCCCGTATCTGCTCCCATCCTTCGGACCACCCCGCTGACTCCTCCTCTGACAGTCCGATCCAGTCACCCAAAAGACGGAGAGAATCTGAATCGACTTATCGACGCCGACGGCCGATCGGTCCATCAAAGAAACACAATCACGTAATTTTTTAAATAAATAATTTTAGGGTTTTTTGGACGGAAATTTGGGGTTTTGATGTTTTGTAATGAAATTAAGATTTTTGATTTTAAATCTTGGCTGAATATTAGTTGTTGAATTAGGGGTTATGATGTTTGGGTGGTTTCGTCTAGGTTTTTGTTTTGAAACTGAAAATTAGTTTTGATTTAGCTATTTGGGTGACACAATTATGCCTTCTGACTAGTTTCTCACGGTCTCCATAAGTTTAAAAGAAGCTTATCAAAGTTGAAAGATAGAAAGAGGAAATAATGTTTACTTGTTAAAAAGTTCATCTCCCTTCTAGTCATCTAAAACTCGAAAATCCTAATGGACGATAATCTGATATATTTCTATTTGGTTTTAATTATAATCTCAATTTAACTTTGATTTGATGACATTCATATTATTGGATTGCTATCTAGATTAATTGTTTGATTGTTTTAATAATAATGATATTGCTAAGTCTTCGTTCCGGCATCAGTTTAGTTGATTGTTGTGATTTCATATATGTTATCTTCGCACTACCATGTCATAGGATTGATTGAATGGATTGACAATGATATCAACTAAAAATGAATACTTCGAGAAACTCGAGTATGATGACTTAATTGAAGAATTCGCTTCAAATAATTCAAGGAGAAGTGTTTTTCTTTGAATTAAATTGTAGCACAAATATAATTTTTTCTTATATGAATATTGATTTTGCAAGAGAATATTATCAGTTTGAGCCCAATATAGAACGCTAAATGGTATTATATGTATTCATTTTTATCGTTATTGTTCGTACCAAATTTTTAATATAAGGGGCAACCAAAATTGGATTAGGCTAGGGCAACCCAAACCTCGGGGCCGGTCCTGAACGTAGTAAACAGTTTCTCGAACGAACAAGCATCTAATGATATTACTTATATTTCTTCAAGATCTATCCCAGAATTGTGAAAATTTGGACTCTACAAATGTAGTCAGAAGCTTTATCCCAGATGAAGTAAGGGGTTTGAATTCATTAAACATGTCTAGGCTGCATTGGTAATCTCTGATGCGCACCAATTTATTGTAGTAACTTGAGGGGCTTGATTACAAATTTGGTAAGTTAATTGGTGCTTGCTAATGTCGGGTTGTCACCAAACCCGGGTTTGTATATGTCCCATTGACACTCTGAAAATCTCAAATGAGCACAAATTAAACTCATGAAAAAATATTTCATTTATATTATGGGTCTTAGATATGACTCATGCTGAAATTAACACTATCCAGGCATGGCGAACTCAAAAAAGAAACACTACAATGGAGAAGGGTAACAAGCCAATCAGTAAAAACTTTAGAACAACGCTATCAAAGAACAAGCACTCTGTTATATCAAGATATACACCTTATTTTCACTAGAGAGATTGGATTCATGAAGTTGACTTAAACAAAAAATTAGAAGATGGATCAGCATCAGTTAACATCGTAATTAGCGCATCTGAAACTCAATTATTAAAATGATAAATAGTCTCAAGGAAAGACCATAACTTACCAAACATTGAAGAGATGAATGAAGGGGATAATAACCCTGGTATAGAGCTTCTCCAACTGAAGGCGTGCACGTTGTGTACTATGAAACATTTTGTAATATGAGCAACTAGATGGTTGCTTGTATGAAAGGATCAGTTATCTGCAAACTTTTCATGAACTCTTATCTAGTTGAAAATGATGAAGGAGACAAAACATGCATCACCATTTCTTGTCCTGTTGAAGATATTGGAAATATCGTGATTTGCAGAGATAATGCAATTGCTGAAGCTTTTTCTTCCCCAATCTATTCACTTAGGAGCTACATCCTTCTGCATTACTGAGATTGTGAGCGGGCAATAAAATAATAAAGGATAAAAACTAAAGAAATCTCAGAAAAGAGTAACGTCATTTATGGCCCAGAGTTTGTAATATAAAAAGCATCATAGAAAGTCCGGAGATGCCAATAAAAGAGTAATAGTGTTCTCAAATCCAAACACCTGTGCTCATATAAAATGGCGAGGATCACATAGTTTCTTTCAAAATTGCAATTTCTCCACCTTGATAAGGTCACCATAAAGACATGGTATTTGGTTAAACAAAAGTTACAGAAAATAAACAATCCATTCAGAAGAAGCCCATGAGTTCAGGACAAATTATTTTATTGATCAAGCGTAAAGCATCCAGGGAAAAGGGACTAAATAAGTTTACAGAAGAATAAACAATGCAAAGCATACCTCCAGAAACTTCTTGCATTTTCAGTCTTGATATCGCCTTCTGAGTGTACTGTATTTCTCATGCTTGTTTTATTCCAATTCCAAACTATGCTCCAAAGTCCAACTACACTTAACTGAACAAAAAAAATTCAATATCCGGATCTATTATACCAATGTCATCTTGCTGAAGATTTTTCTAGTGGGAGTCATACTAAAAACTACCTACTGTGAAGTATATTATTCAAAAATTCTTTCCCCTCTTGAAAATATCATGAAAAAAGATAGAACTAAATATGCAGAAATAACCTGGAATGAAGATTACCGAATTCCAGCTCACACGGCTTGAAATTCTGAACATTGGAAGCCCCATTAAAGAAAAGGTAGCAACAATAAACCTTACCGAGTTCAACAGCCTTCTTTGGTCACAGATAATAACCTTCTCATGATCAAATGAGCTGCTCCAACTCAACCTGTATTGGAGAATATGAACATGTTGACATAAGGCAACATCTCTGATGAGCCCATATCCTGAAGACTGAACTTTAGGCCGAGCTCAACATATGTTGGCAGCCAGTTCATAAGCACATACAAGGCATAATGAAACATGAAACGATTCACTACAATTGCCCGAACTGTGTAGCGAAAATTTGCACAGATGAACAGCAAAAAAACAATCACATACCACTGTGGAAATTCCATCCTCGACAATTTTGCACTGATCTAGATTCAAAAGTAATATGTAGAAGTATCCAATAAAATTACAATATCAAATAGATCAACTTTCTGCTCATCGCAACAAAAAGCCTCTGCCCATCTGCTCATTACTTGTTATTCTCAGAGTGAAAAAAAAACTCAGATCTTAACAGATTTTGTTCATCCTGTGAACGTGGGTGGGGTCTACCACGTGAACGAGGAGGTTGTTTCTGTGTGGATTCGTTTCCGTGCAAAGAAACGAAGCCGGCCCATGAACCGCAAATGCTACATATATATAGCAATTGTTTATTAGGTTTTTGTGTGCGGAAGATTTGTGCAGCTGTTTTTCCTTTCTTTTGCCGGCGTGTGAGGTGCAGGCTGCGGCTGCAGGTGAAGAAAACAGAGGAGAAAAGCAGCGGCTGTGTTGAGATCTTGAGCAGTCCCTTTTAGGGTTTTGTGCATCCCTTTGAGAGAGCTTTGTGAGAGATTTGAGAGTTTTGTGTGAGGGTTTTATTTGTGAGATTCTTGTGTAAACCCTATTTGTATTCTCTCTTTCTCTATTAGTAGATCTCCCCCTTCTTGCCCCGTGGACGTAGGCAATTTGCCAAACCACGTAAAAATTGGTTGTATCGCTTTTGTGTGATTTGTAATAGCTTTTTAGGATCCCTCGACGCGCAGTCCTAGAGCTGACGAGAGGAAGAGCTAATATCTCACTTTGATGAGATATTAGGCTTCATATTCTTGTTCCCTTTGAGAAACAAGAATTCTTATTGCGACCTGACTTTCTTGTTGTGTTGCCGAAGTGCTGTTGAAATTTCCGCTTCGCGTAACAAGTGGTATCAGAGCCCAGATTTCAGATCTAGGGTTTTTTGGTGGAGGAAGATTTTTTGTGTGAAGCTTGGTTCTTGGAGTTCTAGGCTTCGGTGGAGATAGCATTAGGAGTTGCCATTGGAGATTTCGCTTTCCTCGTGTGGATAGGAGATCAATTTGGAATCCGATCTAGGATTCAGTTAGGTGGTTCCTAATTCTGTCAAATTTGTTCTTTCTCTATAATTTGGAGTTAGTTTGCAATGGGAGAAGAACGGAGAGTTGAGGAACGCAACCTTTTCTTGCCCAACATGGAGAGGATGTTCCCCCTATCTTATTTCCAATGCGCTTCTGTCCCGAGGCGTATGGATTGGCCCCTGGTTAAGGATCAAGATGGGGTTGCTCTCGGAGCTCTGACTTTCTATGGGGTCCGCACCGTTGGTTATAATCGGCAGGTGACAGCTTTACGGCCGAGTTTATTTGCTACGGAGTATCCCCTTGGCGAAGCACCCAGTCCGGCAAAGACCTTTGTTAAGAGATTCCTGGAAAAGAAAGGAGAGTTTCCCGCGCAAGGATTTAGAACTCCTGGTTGGGTTCATTCTCCGGCGGCGGGATGGTGGGCCCAGATGACCAAGTTTGTTCTGAAAGAGTTGGAACCTCGCTTGCGGCTCATGTGAACAACTATACGAAGTTGTTGTCGGACTTGGCGAATGTTGATGAGAAGATATCGGATGAGTACAAGGCGATTATTTTGTTGGGCTCCTTACCGGATGAGGAGTATGATACCTTCGTGATCACTTTGTTAAACGGGAGATCTTCTATCAGCTATAGTGAAGTGACTAACGCTTTGACCAATTACGATTTGAGGAGGAAGGACAAGGAGACTTCCCGTACTAGCACTTCAGGCGAGGCCTTGTCGACGAGAGGTAGAAGCCCATATCCGAAAGGTGGTAATAGAGGAAGGTCAAAGTCAAGAAGCCACCACCAATTAGCAAAGAACCAATGTGCATTTTGCAAGGAGCAGGGACATTAGAAAAGAGATTGCCCGAAGCTCAAGGAGAAAGAGAATGGCAAGAAAAAGAGCCCGAAGGCCAATGAGGTGAATATTACGAAAGGCAATGATTCCGATGATTCGTGCTTTTCTCTACTGATTACTCCGGAGGTGAACTATGTGGATGCATCAGATTGGATGCTTGATTCCGACGCTACTTTTCATGTGACCCCTAGGCGAGACTGGTTTGCATCTTTTGAGAAAGTCGACGGGGGCGTTGTTATCATAGGAAATGATCAATCCTGTGACGTTTGTGGGTTAGGTACCGTACAGATTAGGATGCACGATGGAGTAGTCCGTGAGTTGAAGGAGGTGAGATTTGTTCCTCAACTGAAGAAAAATCTTATCTCAGTTGGAGCTTTGGAGGCGAAGGGATTCAAGGTGACTTTCGAAAACGTTGTAGCGAAGGTTACTAAGGGATCATTAGTGGTGATGAGGGGAGTCCGCAATCAGAATTTGTATTATCTGAAGGGAAGCACCGAGATTGGCCAGGTTGCTTCGGCTATTTCAGAAGCGGACATGAGCAGACTTTGGCACTATAGATTGGGGCACACAGGTGAAAAGTCACTGCAGGCATTGTGCAAGCAGGGGCTATTGAAGGGAGCCAAGAGTGGGAAGATTGAGTTCTGTGAGCACTGTGTTCTTGGCAAGAAGACGAAGGTGAAGTTCGGGACTGCCATTCATAAGACGAGGGGCATCCTGGACTAAGTGCAGCATCACTTGGTGGTAGACATTGGTTCGTCACTTTTGTAGATGACTATTCTAGGCGTTGTTGGGTGTACACCATGACGAAGAAGAGTGAAGTCCTAGATTTGTTTGTGGAGTGGAAGAAAAGATTGGAACTGCAGACTGGGAGAAAGATCAAGACGTTGCGATCCGACAACGGTGGTGAGTATACTTCTGACCCCTTTCAGCAGCTATGTCGAGACGAGGGCATAGAGAGACACTTCACGGTTAGTCATACACCGCAACAAAATAGGGTGGCAAAAAGGTTGAATCGGTCTTTACTGGAGAAGATCCGATGCTTATTGTCGCAGAGTGGTTTGGAGAAGATCTTTTGGGCTGAGGCACTTACATATGCGAGCCACCTCATTAATAGGCTGCCTTCATCTGCGATTGAGGGGAAGACCCCCATGGAGATGTGGTCGGGAAAGCCAGCACATGACTATGACCAGCTCAAGGTATTCGGGTGCCCTGCATATTATCATGTTAGAACTGATAAATTGGAACCTCGAGCTAGGAAGGCCATATTTGTAGGATTCAAGCGTGGTGTCAAGGGATACAAGCTTTGGGATCCAGTTGATAAGAAGATTGTGCTGAGTAGGGACGTCACGTTTGATGAAGCTTCTATCTTGAAGCTTCCCAGCTCTCATCAGGTGGAGAGCGACCCGACGGAGGAGATATCGCAGGTGGTGGAGATCGATGCAGCTCCACATTGTCCAGATGGTACAGTATCCATGCAGGTGCCGACTGAGGTGACGCCAGGCGAACACGACGATGACACGGAGGATACGAGTACAAATGTGCAGGATCAGTAACCGACAGCTCAGGTTCAGGATTCTATTGCGGTTCGGAGACAGAGGAGAAACATACAGATGCCAGCACGGTATGCCGACACAGTTGTGTATGCACTTCCGGTGGAGAGTATCGATGAGTTGGTGCCTACTACATTCAGAGAGGCCGAGCAGAGTTCGGAGATTGATTCGTGGCAAGTGGCTATGCAGGAGGAGATGGAATCTCTTCATAAGAACGATACATGGGAGCTTGTTGAGCTTCCAAAGGGACGGAAGGTAATTGGTTGCAAGTGGGTATACACGAAGAAGGAGGGCATTGAGGGCACTCCATTGAGGTTCAAAGCTAGGTTGGTTGCGAAGGGCTATGCACAGGAGGAAGGTATTGACTATAATGAGGTTTTCTCTCCGGTGGTGAAGCACTCTTCGATTCGGATTTTGCTAGCTTTGGTGGCACAGTATGGATTAGAGTTAGATCAGTTGGATGTGAAGACGACATTTCTTCATGGTGATCTTGATGAAGAATTATATATGACTCAGTCATTGGGATTCCGAGCTGCAGGGAAAGATAAGTTGGTTTGCAAACTGAAGAAATCGCTATACGGTTTGAAGCAGTCTCCTCGACAGTGGTATAGGCGATTCGATGGTTTTATGATTGGTCATTCGTACACTCGGAGCCAGTTTGATCCTTGCGTATATTTTCGCAAGTTGAAAGGAGGTGCGTACATTTATTTGTTGCTCTATGTCGATGACATGTTGGTTGCCTCTATTTCCAGATCGGCTATAGATGAGTTGAAAGTTCAGCTTTTAAATGAGTTTGAGATGAAGGACTTGGGCGAGGCGAAGCGCATTTTAGGGATGGAGATCGGCAAAGACAAGAAGAAGGGAAGAATTTGTTTGACACAGATGGCTTATTTGAAGAAGGTTCTACAGCGATTCCATGTTAGCATGGATACGAAGCCAATTAGTGTACCATTAGGAGCCCATTTGAAGCTTTCAGCTGGTCTTTCACCGAAGTCAGTTGAAGATAGAGAGTTGATGTCGAAGACTCCATATGCGAGTGCGGTTGGGAGCTTGATGTACGCAATGGTATGTACGAGACCAGATTTGTCACAGGCGGTGAGCATGGTATCGAGATACATGCACGATCCAGGAGTGGGTCATTGGGACGCCGTGAAATGGATTTTGAGGTACATTCGAGGTACGCTCAATGTTGGTTTGGTTTATGAGCGGGACACTACAGGTGGGCAGCTATGCATTGGCTATGTTGATTCGGATTATGCCGGGGATTTGGATAAGCGCCGGTCTACGACGGGGTATGTGTTCACTTTAACCCGTGCGCCGGTGTGTTGGAGATGCACCTTACAGTCGACGGTGGCTTTGTCTACGACGGAGGCAGAGTATATGGCAGTTACGGAGGCTGTGAAGGAGGCTATTTGGCTTCGAGGACTTTTGGAGGAACTTGGTATATCGCAGAGGTCCGTCACTATTCATTGTGATAGCATGAGTGCTATCTATTTGGCGAAGAATCAGGTTTTTCATGCGAGGACGAAGCACATTGACGTTCGTTATCACTTCGTTCGGGATGTTCTTGAAGATGGCGATGTGGAGATTGTGAAAGTCCACACGAAGGATAATCCGGCAGATATGCTCACAAAGGTGGTTCCGAGCAACAAGTTTGATCATTGTCGAAACTTGTTGCACATTCGTGATTGTTGAGGCCGTTGGCGGCCATTTGGGTGAACTACGTTCGGTTTGAT